AACATTCTGGCTAAATTGCACACAAATCACCCAGAACTTTGTGAAAAGGTTGGTGGGCTTTTAGCCATGCACATAGATGATCTTCGAGTTCTAGCACCTTTGTGGCTTTTCAAGACTGAAGAAGTACGTGAGGACAGGGCTCACTGGGCAACCAACATAACTGGTGACATCTATGGGAAAGGCTGGATTAGTGAGATGTATGGTTACTCATTTGGTGCAGCAGAAGTACGTTATATTGTTTATATTATCCTAGCATAAAAAGAATAGAAAACTTTTTTGTCCTTCATCCCTGCTGTGCGTGATATTTTTATATTCATCTTCTTGTTTTGGTCATATTCTTTGATTTTCAGGCTGGACTTAGGCACAAGATTAATGATGACTTGATGATCTACCCAGGCTATACTCCGCGGCCAGGTGTTGAGCCTATTCTTCTTCATTATGGCTTGCCAATTAGAGTGGGAAACTGGTCTTTCAGTAAATTAGATCACCATGAAGATAGTATTGTTTATGACTGCGGGCGACTCTTTCCTGAACCTCCTTATCCTAGAGAAGTAAGTTAACTTCTAAATTTGGAGGAATGAATTGTTGATTCTGGTAGAAAATTTGTCTGCAGTAAGAGGCCTGCTTAAATGCTTATTTATTTTCCATGTAATGCATTTTTCTCTTACTACAAAAGAAAATTGAAGCATGCTATTTGTTTTATTAATGAACTAAACATCATGTTTATAACCTAATTGTTCATATCAACTGTTGTATTCCTAATAACAAATTGCATGTAAGACTGGTGTTATAGTGGAAACTTAGTATATCCTTTCCCTATGCAGGTGAAATCAATGGAATCTGATCCAAATAAAAGGCATGGCCTATTTTTGAGTATAGAGTGTATCAATACTATGAATGAGGGTCTTCTTATACATCATGCCAGACATGGATGCCCAAAGCCAAAGTGGTCAAAATATCTAAGCTTTCTGAAAAGCAAAACTTTTGCAGAACTAACTCAGCCAAAGCTTCTTACTCCTAGTAGGGTACAAACTGAGGTGGCCGAGGAGGGGAAAGGAATTGATGAACCCATAAGACCATATCCAAAAATTCACACCCTATTTTCTACAGAATGTACTCCTTATTTTGATTGGCAGACTGTAGGACTCATGCACAGTTTCCGCCTCAGTGGCCAGCCTGGAAATATCACACGTCTCCTCAGCTGTACAGATGAAGACTTAAAGCAATACAAAGGCCATGACCTGGCGCCTACCCATTATGTACCTTCAATGAGCCTCCATCCACTAACAGGCGACTGGTAATTCTACATCTATTATTATTTTCTTTCACTCCAGATAGTAGAATCCTTAGTTGCTAGAACTACTTATCTCCTCATGTACTGTGATTACTGGCGTTTGCTCGGCTACAGTATTTTTGGTTAACAACAGGCTGTTTATTGGCATTTGTAGCTATACTTTTGGCAGTAGGAATAATCTTCTTTAGGTTGCCTCTTGCAAAATTGTTCTTATTTGATAATTCTCCTTGCTCAAGTTCTACTTGGAACTAGTATTATGTCTTATTAATTTGGAAATGACCTTCCTCTTGATCATAGGATTATGTATTCTGTTAAGCTTTGAGATCCTGTGTGACGGATACGGAGTTTATATGTCATTTTCCATATTTTGAGGACCAACCTGCTTTTAAGTTGGTCCACTGGAATATCCCATTGTTAATGCCTGTTTCGTTTTACATATTACCTGTACTTGGTTGACAACAGCCTGGTGAAGTGGTTGAACTCTCTAACAGCTAAGGGCAAGTGTACTGGTTCTATCTTGAGAGTGACAACCTAATGCAGAAATGGGTACTGGTTTATGTTTTTTGAATATGGCATATTAGTTAGGTAATATAAAGTTTAATTTGTGAACTGTAAACCACCCTAGACCCTCTAAAATCAAGCAAGAGATTAACCAAATGTTTAGAGGACCAACCTTCATGAAGTAGAAGGCAGAGAATAAACTCTTGTTGTTGCATGTTCCATGTCAGGTATCCAGCAATTAATAAGCCAGCTGCTGTTCTTCATTGGCTCAATCATGTAAACACTGATGCAGAGTACATAGTTATTCTTGATGCTGACATGATCTTGAGAGGCCCAATTACACCATGGGAGTTCAAAGCGGCACGTGGCCGACCAGTTTCAACCCCTTATGAGTAAGATGAGGAGAACAAGGATTAATGTCTTTACTCAAATTCTTTATAGAGTACTCTTTGTGCATGCATATTATCCCCCTCCTCCCCACCCAAACTCTTTCTCCTCCTTCTCTATTTTCCATGTGTTTATACCTGCTTACTTAGTTTATGGCTATGCATGATAGATACCTTATTGGCTGTGACAATGAGCTTGCAAAACTTCATACTCGCCATCCTGAGGCTTGCGACAAAGTTGGAGGTGTTATTATCATGCATATTGATGATCTCCGGGAATTTGCACTGCTATGGTTGCTTAAAACTGAGGAGGTCCGAGCAGACAAAGCTCATTATGCAACAAACATCACTGGAGATATATATGAATCTGGGTGGATCAGTGAAATGTACGGTTATTCATTTGGTGCGGCAGAGGTATTTTCTTTGAGTCAAGTTCTTAGGAAATAGATTGTAATTTATGTCTTATAAAATCCTGGTCACGAGATTGTGGAGTAAAGACAATAGCATGCTTTGAGGAATTGCTTTATGTTTGAGTTTATTATTAATGGTATTTTGACTATAACAAATTCCTGTATGGAAACACTTTATTTACTGCTCCAGATAGTCTTACCTAGTAATTATTTTCATAATTATTGTTCAATGAGGTCTGTTCCAGTGAATATTTATTTAGAATTTTGTTGTAACAGATTAAATAATGTCTCTTATGTTCCTCTCCTCTTATCATGCAGTTGAAGTTACGGCACCATATAAGCAGCAAGATATTAATATACCCTGGATATGTTCCTGAACCTGGTGTCAAGTACAGAGTTTTCCACTATGGTTTGGAATTTAATGTTGGGAATTGGAGCTTTGATAAGGCGAACTGGAGAGATACTGATGTGGTGAATAGATGTTGGGCCACGTTCCCAGACCCACCTGATCCTTCAACAGTTGAACAAACTGATGAGAACTTACGTCAGCGAGACCTGCTTAGCATTGAATGTGCAAAAAAGCTGAATGAAGCATTGCTTTTGCATCACAAGAGAAGAAACTGCCCTGACCCTACTGCCCTATCCACTTCAGAATTGGATACAACTAAGGATATCACACATTCAAGGAAATTTGGTACATTTGCTGGGAATGATGATATAAAAAGCAATCCAGTTCCCAGAAATCACTCACAGGAATCATCTTTACCTAGAGTCAGAGATGGGCTCTTTAGTACTTTAAGGTTCTGGATCATTCTTTTATGGGTGTTTTCTGGCTTGGGTTTTATGTTAGTCATGTTAGTGGTGTTTTCTGGTTATAAAGGTAAGGGATCATCAAAAAGTAAAAGTAACAAAAACAGGAGAAGATCTTATACAGGGTTCTTAAATATGAACGAGCGCAGTCGCAAGTCTGAGGTATCTTTGTAACATCAAGTTTCTTGTAGAGAAGACAAATACATATTTTATATAGGCTGGGGCAAGCCTGAGCATAATAAAGAGATCCGAGACAAACATGGTTAAGTGAATCTCAATAACATAGTTGGAGTTTAGAAGACTTTCTTATTGCAGTGGGAAAATACAAGGTTTCAGTGGTTCTTCTAACTGGAAGGTGGGATCATAGATTGACATTGTAATTCTTGTTTCCATATACTTTGGTTTCAAAGCTCCTACCAAGAAGACCACCTTGACATGCTATTTTGGTCAAAATTTGGTTCTGGAAATGTATGATATTACCCTTTTGAGTTTATTTTCTGCTTCCAAGCTTTTGCGTGTTGAAATGCTATGACCTTTGTTTTCGGATGTTGTACAAAAAAAGAAATAGAAAGCTTAGGAAGCAAAAGAAATATTCGCCTTGATCTTTGCTTACTTATAACTATTTTTCCTGCTGGTTCAAGATGTTCACTTCAATAATTCTTTCTTTAAAACTGACTGATATTTCAATCATCATCTTCTCAGTGGCTTAGAAGTTTTAACTTGGTAATCCTGTTGGACCATAGCCCTTTTGGGCACACAGGCCTTACAAAGGCTTTTATATGGCCCTTTTGGGCATATTTCGCATACTTGTATGATTCCATTGTTTTCTTTAATTATTACTAGACGGTAACAGGAAAAAAACCCATTGATACAAATACTACAACTATCGTAGATGAACCCCATTTTCCAATGAAATGGATGCTTAAAGTAATTTAGTACTAGTTACTTATATTTTAGTCTTACCACCTTCCTGATAGCTAGAGTATATCTACTCCTTGGTGTACATAGATCTACTATACTTATATGAAGTGCAAGAATGATGACATTCAGGTTAAAGTCTCGTGGGGATTTAGACTGGTAGATGAAAGAAAAACTTGCAAGAATTCCCAGTAATCCAATTCCAAAAGCTTGACATGCCCAACCCAACATAGGTTTTGTTACTTAACACTGATGTTGCAACTACTGGTTGTTCAACATGGAACATCCATGAAATCTAACCACCCCCAATTTTTGGCTAAGCTCTTATAGTTTGGGTGGAAATAATGCCAAAACCTGCCTGTCTAATGGTCCCAAATTAGATCCTGGAAAAGCATGGCTGTCTCTTTGCTTCAAAAATCAACCACAGAAAATGAACTCCATATCCAAGACCAAGCAGGGTTTGTCCAAATTAAAAACTGCCCAATTGTCTGGGCTCTTTAAAGTTTCAAACCATATGGACGTTAAAGGGATTTTTCATTGATTTCAACAAGTGGGTCCCAAGATGAAGCTGAAAAATGGGTTGCAGCTCCTCTAAACATGGAAGTTGGCCCCACTTTAGACAATAATAAAAGATTGCTCTGCACCTCTATCTTTTATATGGCCTACTTTATTCCAGCTAGTGCTTTTTCATTTTGAATTTCAAATTTAAATGGGGTTTTTTCCTTGCTTTCTAGTTTAGAGAAAGAGCACATGGAATATTATATACAGATAGAATAATTGCTAAAGGTTTGGATGATTTGGGGTTTGAAACATTTGCAAAGACATGGGAGAATCAGCTTGTCTCATGCAACCATTTTCTTACACTGCAGGGATTCCAAATGAAGCCAAGGAGGTCAGTTCATGCATATGCATTTAGAGATCTTAGTACTCATGTCTTTGTCTTTCATGAAAGTCTATAATAGATTTGGATGCTAATAATTCATTGGAACCATTAAAGGTTCTTCCTGTATTGGTCCTACTCCTACTTCCATAATAATTCAAACCCAGCAAAGTTGTGTTGAAATTGCACACCAAAGCTTCAAATTTTGGATGATATTTGACAAGTTAATTTTCAGAGTTCTGTTAAGTTTCCTTCTTTCTGGTTACTTGAGTTTTAACTTGTTTCCATTTTGAAAATGGCTATAATTCTGAGAAAGTGGTTGAGCTAGGACTTCGAGTTTGAAATTTGTACCATGAGAAACTACAGAAAGTTAGAAACTTTTTCTGGTTACAGGGGAACCCAGTTCACGCTCTTGGGCAGTCAATATCTTTTGGTCGATTTATGTCTGATTCCTTGGCTTGGGAGAAATGGTCAACATTTTCTCATAACAAATATGTGGAAGAGGCTGAGAGATACTCTAGGCCTGGATCAGTTGCACAGAAGAAAGCTTTCTTTGAAGCTCATTACAAGTCACTTGCGGCTAGGAAAGCAGCAGCCTTGCTTGAGCAAGCTAATGCAGCAGCAAACAGTGCTAAAGAAAGTGAAGTTGAAAATGGGATTCATGATATTACAACCCAAGGTTCAGAAATGACGAAGTCAAACTCCCAAATACCAGTCCTTGACCAAGAAGTCAAGGCACCAAGCACAAAAGCTGGTTCTATTCATGATGGTAAAGAGAATAATTCAGATTTTGTCAAGTTTGAAAGCGGCAAGATGGAAGGAGATGATTCAGTCGCTGAACACCATGTTCTTTTGGAAAATTATATGAAGAATGAATCTATTGAAAGGAAAGCGAGTGTTGATAAGGCTGAAATTAGAGATGTGGAGCTTAGGGAAACAACCCAAGTGGAGAATTGTGTGAAAGTTGACCAGCCAAGACAGCTTAGGGAGATTATAGAATTGGAGCTCAGTGAAGGAAGCCAGATGGAGAAACCTCTACTTAAGGTAACAAGTTCATCTTTACCCCATGATTTGGCTTTGATTTCAAATTTCGATGTCCTTGTGTTTACATTGCTGTTACTGTGATGCAGAGTTCCAATACCAGTCAAGATGAATTTGACGTGACAAGCAAGAAGAAACCAACACATTCTTCCTCCAAGGTGTCAGCTTATGCTAGAACATCCAAAGTGCCATCTTCACCTGCTAAATTCACAGCTCCCACTCGTCCCAACAAGGGAAATAATCTCACCCCAATGGCCAAGAAGTCTGCAATGGACATTTCAGATAGAAAGAGATCAACTCCAAAATCAAGCCACAAGTCTATCAATTTCACCCCTGCCAAAGAATTCAGTAAAATAACTTCCACAATTATCCGGAAGATCGATGGTTCAAGAATTGCTTCAAATTCTAAATCATCTAAAGAATGTGCAACACCTTTAAGGACTCCAAACACGGTGCCCTTTTCCTCTGCCACTTTACTATTGTGTTCCGCCACTCCATTTTCCTAATTGATCTTCCAACTTAGCAGTTCTTGTCATGGATGCTAAATTAAATTTTCATTCATATACTGCAGGCTTCTGTGAGTGGAAGACCAAAACAACCCTCAGCTACCCCTTGGTCCGAAAACAGAAGGTATCTAATGCTCATCTAAGAAAATATGCTAGTTATTCAAACTAGAAAACTTTTGGAACATTCAACCTCACACATCCTTTGTCATATGTATGCATTACAGCGCTAGAACACCCGTCAACTCCTCAGCCAGTGTGAGCAAAACAGCTCGTGGGAAATGGAACTTTCTTCCTACAGAGTAAGGAACTTCCTTTTCCGAGACTACTGTAAATTGTTGTGAAACATTAGGTTATCATGATTTTCTGGTGATTTTCTGGATAAATTAAAAGAACTAAAGCATCCTAGTCAATTTAACTAACTAGGAAACCTTGAAAGCTAGTAATCAAACGCTAATATACTGTCCTATGTATTCATTGTGGTGGCACGTGCAACTCAAAAGGGACTTGAAGTCCTGATTTTTGTCTTTTCATGCCAGTTGTTCAAAGTTTTTGAGTGCCTGCAGAAACAAATCGCAGTCCCCTGGTATATTTGCATCTTTCAGTTTGAGGACTGAAGAGAGAGCTGCAAGAAGAAAACAGGTAAGGCTCCACATTACCACCTGCTTTATATTTACTATGTTATATGATCTACTTCAAGGGACCATATTAATTGTGGATCTGAGATGAATATATACATTCACTCACTCCACCATTGCCTCCATCTTTTTTCAGAGGCTTGAAGAGAAATTCAATGTTAGTCAGGGACAAAATATGCAGCAGCAAACAACACTCAAGGTTGCTTCTTAATCCTGAGCATCCTTTTAGGTTTTGTAGGATCAAATCATACCAATTCATATTCTATGGAGCATATCTCAGCTAAGTAGGTTACTATTATCCTCCTCATACATTTGCAGGAAAAAGCAGAAACAGAACTCAAGAAACTACGTCAAAGCTTTTGCTTCAAGGCTAGACCATTGCCAGATTTTTATAAAGAAAGAAGAACACCAAAAGATCAAATGCACAAGGTATACAAGCAAGTTCTCTTAACTTGTTGAAAAATGATTCTATAATGACCTCTTAGTAATTTAAAAACCATCAATGATAACTTCAAGTTAGAAACTATAATTCTATGTTATTATTGCATAACTAAGTTCTTCCTATTTTCTTGCTCCTCTTCCTGTTCACAGGTTCCATTGACACAACCAGAATCACCTGCCCTGGGAAGAAAATCCACTCCCAGCAAGGCAAGCACTGCCCAAAGCAAAAACTCTCTTCCTCATCAGAAGTCTTTGATTAAGAACACTTGCTTCAAGCAGGTCCCAGAAAAGAAAAATCAAGTTTCAGTTCGTTCTCTCACTTCACGAGTTCCACCGCTGGCTCATGGGAATACAACTCCAAATATCCAGCATGCTTAAGATTACAACATAGTAAAATTCTGTATGTCAGTTGTATGAAGTCCAAATTGCTTTTCAAAACGAATGCTGGATGCTTACAATTGAATGAAAAGGAGGCTGTACCCAAAGGGAAATTTCCTCAGGAATGGAAATTTTCCCATCAGAAAAATTTATTTCCAAAAATCTTAGCAACTTCATGTTCATATGCAACATTTCTTTCTGTAATTAGTAGCACTATTTAATAAAATACTGTAAAAAAATCTTGTTGTGCCTTGAAACAAGTTATGGAGCACCGTGACACTTGGGGAAGGGTAAGGGCTTGAAAGAAACAAGCCTACCTTGAAAGAAATTATGTATACCCATTCAAGAATTTGCAGCAGTTTTAGGGCATTCAAAAACCTGAAGCAGGTTTTGGAATATGGAGTTTGTATCATGTCAAAGGGAATTCATCTGATCGATCTCATGGAAATTAAGTATGCCAGGATTATTCAGCAAAACCCAAACGTTACCCTTGGTTAGGCTAAGCTGTTGCCAAACAGCATAAAACAAAAACAGTATTGAAAACCAGGTAAATTATCACTTATGGCATAATACCATATGAGAGAAAAAGAGTTAAATCAAATCAGAATATCATACTTTTATTTTTCTCTGATAATACAAATCAAAGAAGGTATTAGCAAGGATTTTAAAAGTATAAACGCAAAATTCGTCAACATACAGCTCTTTCATTGCATGAAAAATTTTACAAAGAAAATTGAAATTGCTCATCATCAACAGATACAGAAGCCAGAGAGAACTGAAACTTTTTCCAACCGCTATTTATAGTCCTCCCATGTAGCACAAGCAAAAAAGAACATCCAAGATTACACTCTTGCATCTCTTGTCCACCTCTTTAAGATGTATTGGCTTGGAAGCAACCTGATATTCCTGTAATCTAGCACTTTTAATGCATGACTACATAACACTCCCATGAACTCATATTTCATACAACTGCAGAAAACTGTATTATCAGCCAAGTTATAACTTACTGCATACTCTCTTGGCTGTCCATATGTGCTTACTTTATACTCAAATGCTGTTTCACTCTTGATGCATTGATTAACAACATAATTCAGACACACTTCGTATTCTTGTTGAAACAATTCAAATATCCTTGGTGTGTAGGCATCTCTTGCATGCTTCAAGAGAATCACATCCCCCATTAGTCTTGGCATATTTTGGTTCATATCATAATTAGCTTCCAACTCTTTGTAGTGCCAATCATTCACCACTTTCCCAAGATGCTTGAGAAGTGAAAGCACATCAGACTCAGGCTTTAAGTATTTCTTTAGATTAACTATAAAACTTTCGTGCAGTAGCACGGAGTTTATGTCAGCACAAAAGATGTGCCTTTTGTATGCTATGGCCCATTGCTCTCTGGTTTCAAAAATCTTGTTCAACCACTCAATCTCCCAAAGATCATGTACATCCAGCATAATGTTCCATGCAGCAATGAAGTCTTCTTCCTCCTCGTGATTGAAAAAGCAGCTGCTTAAGTCATTCACAAAAGATTGTCCTACAAATTTGTGACTGAGTTGTTTGAGTGCACTTTGGTAAACATGCCAAACAGACATTCGCTGATGTATTTCTGGAAATATAGAATTAACTGCTTCAGACACAACAGCATCTTGATCAGTGAGAATTGTCTTTGGATTCTTGCCAGACATTGCCTCTAAAAACTTCTGGAACAGCCATTTGAAAGAATCAACAGTATCATCATATAAAAGTGCAGCACCAAAGATGACCATTTGCTTATGATGGTTCACCCCAAGGAAGGGTGAAAACAGACGACAGTCTTTGTTTAGCATGTAGGTTGTATCAAAGCAAAGTACATCACCAAAGTCACTATAGTCCATGATCATCTTTGCATCAGCCCAAAATATATTAGCTATTTGATTTTCAGCATCAAGTTGTATGGCATAGAAAAAAGATGGATTTTTAACTTTCCTACTTTGAAAATATTGCTGTATCCTCTCCGCTTCTCCTTCTCTCATATCTCTAGTACGTTTGGAAGATAATTTACTTCTGTGATCACTTGGATCATATCCATGATCAACGCAATCTCTGATTGAGTTACACGATACTTCATATGCTGATTTAGCTTGTACCTTATAGCTCTCCAATGCATTGCCTTCAACAATTTGGGCTACAGCCAACCGCTTTTGTGATCGTAACATCCAAACCCGACACGCTGCAACAAGCTCATGATTGTGTTTTCCCTCAAAATGAGTGACACGGTATTTACCATCAGGTTGACGAGAAATGACCAGTTGTGCCAAACAACCAATTCTTGTTTCTTTTCGAGGTCTCTTTACATTCAAATCCCTTTTATCCTTCTGCCGAAAACCTTCTCTAAAACAAGTAAACCGCCTGGATGCCACAGCACCATCTATCTTACTCCTATTCACATAATCTTTTCGAACACTGAAACCAACTCGTCCTGCATATGTATTGTAAAATTCATATGCGTGATCTTCTGATTCGAACCCCATTCCAAGCTTTGGTACCCCATCCATCCCAGAACTACTAGCTATGTCAGATTCAACTGCTTGAGCAAAGGTTAATCTCTTCTGTGATGGTAATAGATGAGCTGTTGATGGGTTTACAAACTCATGGTTGTGTTTTGTTTCGAAATGACTTACACGAAACTTTCCATTAGGTTGCCGTGCAATAGTCATATGAGCCAAGCAACCAGTTCTCATCTCTTGCCGGGGCTTCCTTACATTCACATTATGCCTGCTAGGCCTATAACCTTGTCTGTAACAAGTGTACCTTCTGGATACAATGGCTCCATTTACTCGACTTTTATTCACAAAATCTTTCCTAATACTAAAGCCCTCCAACACAGCATATCTACTATAACACTTGTATGCATGCTCTTCTGATTCAAACTCCATTCCAACTGCTGGAACCACAAATATATCATCTTCATCTTTTACAGAAACTCTGGCTTCTAACACATCAACAGATAGAGCATTTGGACTCTGAGAATCCTGCTCACCGTCAACATCAATCTCACACTTGTTCACTGCAGGAACTTGTGCAGTCTGGCATTCATCCCCATTAATTTCCACCTCACTCTTGTCCACAGAAGAAGCATTTGGGCTTTGACTATCACTCTCACTTTCAGTAACTTCCTGACTCTTTTCCACAGAGCAAGCTTCCAAGCTTTGACACTCTTGACCCACATCAACATCCACCTGGTATGATTCTTGAAGGTCATTTTGGATGTCCAAAGTCTGTCCTTGAGTTAAAATGTCAGGGTCACTACTATCCATTCACCTTCACCTGATAAGGGGGATAGGAAAGAGTGGGAAGAACATGCAGCAGCAAACGGAAAAGAAAAAGTATAGCATCAAAAAACAAGAATTTCTACAAAAACCAGTTTTTTCATGATTAAATTAAAACAAATTTACACATGTTCAAGATAGAATTCAACAGATTTTAATTTCTATTGAAACCTCCCAACAAGTAAGTTGAATTAATTAACATACAATAGCCCTCATCAATGAAGATATCAAAAGCTACAGTTCAACATACTACCTTGAAGAAAGAAACACAATTCCATAACAACGGAGACAAGCTAGCATCTACATATATACATGCATACATATAGCTTCTACATACAAAATTCTATAACATACTATCTTCAAGAAATACAATTGATAGCAATGGAAACCAGCTAGTTGCATGCATAAATACATACATGCAGGGACGCGAACACATGCCACACACAAATACATACATACATACTTACAAACACAGAGCCATACATGCATGCATACATATATAAATACATAATGATAAGAAAAAATGAAGCATATGTCATTTTATCTACATACCCAATTTAAAGCACATTGAACTTGTTTTAAAACGAGTTTATAAAACCAATAAAAAGGAAAGAAAAGAACCCAGAAACATGAGCAAATTGTAATGCAAAATTACTCAAAAGTTCTCAGCAAGATGCTACAAATCCCAGAAATGATAAGAAAAAACAGATCTAAATATTAAAATTACTCAATTAAATTCAAAAATCTCCAACAAAAACCTAAACTTTATCATCAAATGTTACTTGAGTTCTAAAAACAAAGAGAGAAAAGAAGGAAATTTGGATTATTCTAATTCAGAAAAATCCCAACTTCAATATCAAGGAGAGCGGCAGGGGAAGGGGAAATTACAGTGAAGATAAAGTGCAAAACAGAGTGACAAGCCGGCGGGAGATCAACGGTCGGGATTTTCCGATAGTCAGGAGAAATGGCGGGAGAGATTATGAAGTTAAAAAAGAGAGCTTTGCAACAGAAAGAGAGAGAAGAATTGGAAGAATTGTAGAGATTTAGGGCTTTTTTTTTTTTTGCGGGGTGCAATTCTTACGACCCGTTCGGTTACTGGAATAATAGTACGCTAAAGGAAAGTAAACACTGCACCGAAATGAAGGAGAAAATGGTTCCACGTGGCAGCTTTTGTTATGTGGATTCCTTTGATTGGTCAATTGAATTGTGCTTATTTTCATGCATAATACTCGAATAAGTTTTTTAATTATTTAAAAATGTTTAAATAAAATTTTTTTATTATGTTTTAATTAAGTTTTTATATTTTTATTTTAAATTAAAATAAATTTTTATAATTAATAATTGACTAAATATTATCATTAGTCAAAATATTTTTTATTATTTTATATCTACCTGACATTAATATGATGTTGATATAAAAGATAAAAAACATCACATAATCATATTATCATATCAAACTAATATATCACATTATGATCAATTATAATATTTAGCATATCACATTATTATTAATTATAATATGTTAATATGTCACATCAATATCATGTAATATAAAATAATAAATAATATTTTAATTAAATCAATTGTTAGTAATAAAAATTTATTTGATTTAAAATAAAAATATAAAGACTTCGATTGAATACAATAAAAATATAAATACTTATATGAATTTTATTAAATAATTTAGGAGTTTTTGTTTTTTTATATTATGTCTTAAAAATATTTAAAAATCATAATGTAAAATTTATCAAAAAATAATAATAGAAATAATCTAAACATTTATGCTTCTTTAAGGAATCATGGTTTGATTTTTCTTTTTAAAAAGAATTTAAACGACCTTTTGTAACTTTAAAAAGATAAAATAATTTGGTTTCAATTTTACCTAAATAAGAAATTTCTCTTTGAGATCTATAATTCAAATTTAACTCCACTCTTATTTGAAATACTCAATAATTTTGATTGCTTCTTCCGCCTGTAAATATTTGTCTCTTTTTTACTTTTACAAAAATTAAAATAAAAACTTTCATTTGATGTATTTTGTATTAAAATTTTTAAAAATTACTATATAAATATTAAGTAAAAAAATATGAGAAATAATTTTGTCATATAAAAAAATAAGAGTATTAGGTACTTAAATAGAAAAAAGGATTTTATTTTAAAAGCATAATATTTTCAAAAGTCGTTGAAATATTCTAAAAAATTTAAATACACTCTTTTTTTTTATTGTGTTCGATTAAGTTTTTATATTACTTTTTAAAAAAATAAATTTTTATATTTTTATTTTAAATAAGTGTTGTCAGTCAAAATGTCATTATCTTTTTATGTTTTATAGTACTTATGTAATATGTTAACATATCATAATAAAAGGAGACATGGCTTGCTTACATGACATGATGACATGACCACATAGGTATAAATTGATAAGTTGTATTTTGATTGACGACAATTAGTCAACTATTAATTATAAAAATCTATTTGATAGAAAATAAAAATTAAAAAACTTGATTAGATATTTATTTTATTCTTTTAGATAATATTAAAATTTTTTAATTATTATATCTAAAACTCAAATAATAAAATAAAGTCCAAAGGAGGAAAAGATCGAAAGAGTAGTTTATTTTCTTGATAAAATTGAAATTTATAACTAAAACAAGAAAAAAAATAGGTTTATTAAGGTATGGGTTGCAATAAATAAGAGAAATTCTAACTCGCACGCACCAATAAACTTTATCAAATGAAACTTTTATTCCCTTTTTCTATTATTCTTCCAAATCCATGCCCTATGAATAAGAAGTGATAAGGCTTAAATGAACTTGAACATTCACATGGCTGTGAATACAAGGAAGCCATTGATAATAAATTATGGCCGCTAAGTTACAACCTTACACAAATATTAAAACCAATAATATATTTGACATTTTGGGTACAACATGTGAAATTGACCGTGAAATTTATCCGACCAAACACCAACCTTCTTCTTCCAAATCTTGATCCAAAACAAATTTCACTTCATCATCGTCGACATAATCGCCTTTATTTTTGTCATCATCATTAACAATATTTTCTTCGATCTCACCTTCTTTTTCTATTTCTTGGAAACCATCGAGATCACATCTATTATCATCATCATAATCATCATCATCATTGTCATTATCATAGTCATAATCATGATCATTATCTTCTATGTAATCATCATTACCTTCATAATCTTCATAGTCATCGTCCAAGTGGTCCAAAATCCTTGTGGCAGAAAACCCTGATAAGTTCAAACCAGGCCGCCCATCAACAACCCTCCAAGTTTTCAACCTATAGTCTGTGACCATATCATCACTGGACCTTAACTTGTGACTACCCTTGGTCTTGTCCTTGGACTTACAAGCCGGGTGCATGTGACACCCTAGGCACCGTGGCCTACCACACCGTCCGGTAAACTTGGAATGGTTAGTAGGCCTCACGGCCACCTTGGTGAACAATCCGGCAGTCGGGGGCGAATCGAAACGTTGAACGAACCGGGGTCCTGGTCTCGGATTCCACGGAGCTGGGAGGATCCGGTAGGTCCTAACCATACCATGTTGGCGACCTTCCCTCTTCATTTTTGGCAAGAAAGTGAATGTGGGCTAAAGAAATGATAATTGGTGATGAGGATAAGGTAAGGAAGCATTTGTTTTGTGACCCATTTTATATGCTTTGATTAGAGGTACAAGCTTGGGAAGCAAGAAGTTTGATTGGTCATAGTACGTGTAGGCCAAGGATAGCAATAATGCTGAGTGACAGCTAATATAAGATTAAACAAATTGAAGCAATTGGCCAACAAGGAACTTTCTCCCAACTAATAACTAGATTTGGTTACATTCTTAGACTAAGATTGATAGCGAAGAAGGACCAGATTCAAGAATGGAGGGCCAATAAGGATTATTTCTGGTGACAAATTGTTGGTTAAAATTTGATTGAATAACAATAACAAATTTAAAATAAAAAAACCCTTTCCTATCAATAAGATTGAATATAATCATTATATTATTTTATAGTTTGATTAATATCAATATTGATGGTTATCCAAGTAAAACATAATTGATGGTCCCTTTTCTCCTCTTTTTAAACATAAAAAGATATAATTTCTCAATTTTTAAATATTTTTATTAAATAAAAAGATTGTTAAGTATTTTTATGACGGTTTTGTTTTATATATATATATATATATATATGTATGTTTGTATGGAGAAGTACTTGTTTAGAAAGTAGATTAAGAACCTGTTTGGTCTAATTTTTTTATAGTTTAAAAGTTATTATGAAGCTTTTATGAAAAATAATAGCTTTTAAAATTAAGATGAAGTTGTTTGGTAAATTTTTTTTTATAAGTTTTTTTTTATAAGTTATAGTTTTGGTTAAAATTATCGTAAAGGGTATATACTTTTTTGAAAGAGTTATATTGTAATTATTTTTAACAGATGAAGATATTTTTAAAATAAAAATAAAATTTTTTTTATATTTTTTGAAAGAGTTATTGTAATTATTTTTCTTTTACCAAAGTTCTTTTTTTAAAAATTTTATTTTTAAAAAAATTATTTTTAAAATTTTTTTTCAAAATTTATGTTTAACTTTATTTTTATTTTTAAAAGATAAATAAATTAAAAAAAAAAACCAAACAAGCACCAAGTGCAAGCAAAATTTGAAGATATTTTTAATCGTATTAATAAAAAAATTATATATTATTTCAAATTATAAGCATTCCTATGTGGAAATTTTAAAATTAAATTTCTATAGGCATTTGTCAACTTAAGAAAGTCCTTTTCTCGGTCTTTGTTTGTTTCTAAAGAAAGAAAAAAAGGTAAGAAAAAGAAAATAGAGATAAACTTCTTCGTCAACATCTTATGGTCATACCCATATTCTTGCTTTCATGGAGGAAGAAAGTTCCATTAATGGAATCTCTTTCTTCAATGAAAAAAAATTTACAATTACAGTTCTCTCAGCAAACACCAACCTTCGTCTTCCTCGCTTTGGTCCAACATGAACCCTACTTCACAAAAACTCATAGCATCATCATCGTCATACTCATAATTATTGTCAATTTTGTGAGTATCATCAACATATTCTTCGATCTCAACTCCTCTCCCGTCTTCTTTCTCATGTAAAGACCAAAAATTCGCCAAAAAATCATCATCGTCATCATCGAGACCATACGGACCGCCATCATCATAGTCATCATCATCATAATTTAGATGATCATCGATCTCATCATCTTCATTACCGCCAAACAAATGTTCCAAAATCCCCGTCGCAGAAAACCCGGAAAAATTCAAACCGGGTCGCCTGTCCACGACCCGCCAAGTAATCAACCTAGGGTTGACGACCATAGTGCTTGTCCTAAGCTTTTGAGTACCCTTGGTCTTGTCCTTGGACTTACTAACCGGATTCAAGTGACACTCAAGACATTGCGGCCTACCACATTTTACTGTAAACTTGGAGTGGTTGCCGGGCTTGGATGGCAGATTGGAAAATAATCCAGCAGTCGAGGGCGAGTCTAGTCTTTGAACGACTCGGGTCTCGGGTAGGATCCGATAGGTCCTAACCGTACCATGTTGGCGAGCCTCCCCCTTCATTTTTGGCCCGAAAATGTTGTAGGCTGAATGAATGATGAAGTATGGTAAATGGGGCTGCTTATTTTTCGTGTTTGTAAATGTCTTTATAGAGCGTAGAATCAGGAGCATAGGCTTGGGAAGCAAGGAATTTTGTCTGGTCGTGTGCCTTGTCGGCCAAGGAGTTACTTTAGGCTGACCGACGACTCACTTTTGTGCACAGCACTATTGACTCTTTTTTTTCTGCTTTCAAGAGTTAGATTGTTTTGATTTAAAATATTTTTTGAAAATAATTTTCAAAACTTATATTCAATTAAAAAAATAAAAATTTATTTTAAATATAAAACATTTTATATATTAATAGAAAAAATTATCATTAATCATGTAAAATGTCTTATGTCCAGGATATAATACATTTTCCAAAAACTAAAAAAAAAAAACTGTTTAAACTTAGAATAATATTGGGATTTATTTCAATTTAAAAATCTTAATTATGGTTTAGCATTTAAGTCTAAAAATTCATGATTTCTTAGAAGCTACCTTTGGTTTTTAAAATTTATAAAAATTGAGTGATGATAAAAATATTTTTTTTAAAAATAATCTAAATAATAAAAAATATTAAATTTTCTTATAAAATGTTTTATGCAGAAATTTTTTTTCAATAAGTTATCTTTTGTTACTAAAGAGACTAGTGATTTGTAAAGTTACAGCAACACAATAAAATTACGAGTATGATACTACCGAAATTAAGGTGTCGATAACAACCATTTTTAATGGGATTCATGGCATTAATACCGCTCAAACGCCTTATGTAAAACAAGTAGGCATTTGTAAATCTTAATGGTAAGGTTGGTTTGCAGAAGTGCAGCAGCATCAGCACCACCACCATCTGCCCCTGCTTGAGTTTGGTTTCAATTTTTGTTACACTACATCAGCATCTGCTCATAATCAGTCAGTCTACACATTAGAGAAAACCTTCGGCTTCAAGCAAACTTTCCCTCATGATCTCTCGACAGAGCGAGGGGATTGAACACGAGTTATGGTAACAGATCTCTATTCTACTATTACTTTTCTCATCTACCAGAAAAAGATCATACCAAAATTACAACGCAAACTCGTTTCAAATGACAATTTTCTAAAAATCACACTATTTGTTTGTTACACAATGATTCAGACATATCGGTTTTTCTATATACAATGCATAAAGGAAAAAGATAGAATGACTTTTACGTACAATACTGTAATTGTTTTTCATGCAAATAGATTCATTGACTAATACTGTATGTGTTGCTAAGTCTTACACATTTTCTGACCCTGGTTGATCAGAAGACTTGAGAAGTGGCTCCATGCCCTCTCGTTCAAGTTTAGAAGCAATCATTGCTTTCTTACCAGGATATAACACAAAATGTTGACACATGAAAATAATGTCAAAGAATACAGATACCTGCAAAATGCAAAACACCAGAGATATAATGATAAAGAACATAGAAGAAATACATAGGGGAGACACTGATTTGTCATGCAGTGACATTGACCAAATTTGAAGCAATGAATCCACTTTGCAAGTTTACTTCTTGTTTTACTGTCTTCCCCTCAAATCATTACATGCAAGCCTTTCATACACATTTTATAAGGGATATTCACTAAAACTTGGGGAGAATACACAAAGAAAATGAAGGCAGAACAGAATAACGTCCTCTTTATCACATGTAACATGGAAAATGGCATTAAGAGAACAATAACATGAACCATTGAATACAAAGACAGAAATGGTGTGCTATAGAATATGAAATCAAATACAGATGGCAGAGGAAATGACATACCAAAGATAGCAATGTTTTGCCTATATTTCCATAGAAGTTCACCCAAGAATCTGAAAAGGAAAATGATATCACAATTACCATCATTGAATGAAGCATAATTTTAGACAACAAGATTAATTGCTAAAGGAGGAGAGCATACTTTGATCTATAGACTGTACGGCCATCTGTGCATAATTTGCCAATCCTCCAACAAAATCAAGCAAAATGTTTCCAATGCTGAACCCATCCGTACTCTTTCGAGCAAAGTTCATTACTGCCTGAAATTTTGTGCCACAAACTTTTAAGCATCAAGATCAAACAACTTCCATCGGTCATACCATGATGTAAAGACAACTAAGGCACCAAGAATTCTCCAATGTGAGGAGTGCAGCCAAGGACATTTCTTCGCAGTGACATTGGTTGATAGAAGAATATAACTAAATAATTAGAATCCAGCCACATGCCCTTATGTGATTCAAGAAGATGAAGAAGCTTTCAGTTTTCAAGATCCTTATTTTTCTTTCTCTTTTCATTTTTCCTCGATAGGATCCCAAATTTAACAGCTTGAAAAAATATATCGCCCATGTGCTTATGGACTTTTACATACATTGAAATAATGATGCATCAATCAGTCCAGTGAATTATGAAAATCTAACAGCAGCAATTCAATAGATGCTTCAAAACAGGAGGCTATTCTCACCTGGGGGATATATTTGATCACCGTCATGAAAACTTGTATTGAGCTGCAACATAATTGAAATAGCAAAATATAAGGGAAGAAAGCCACATAGTGGTAGTTTTACAATGAAACCACTGAGATTAGAGATCTTCTATGCGAATATCTTACAACTAAGAAGATGCCTGCCTTTGCTGTTTTCACACAGATACCAAAAGATTAAAAAAGAAAAAGGACTTACTTAAAGATGGAGATCAACCAAAGCCATGATTGGCTAGGCAATGCTATGAAAACACAAATGGCAGCAGTTAACCATACAGCAGAAACAATTCCTATAGAAATCTTAGAAACCTTTTGAGTTCCACACTGCACAGAACCATTGATAAAGTTAAAACCATCAATTAAACATTGATTTCAACTTACAAACTGTAGGAAAGTACTCGTCCTAGCAACAAAGAAACCAGCAAAAACTTACATCATATATCAGGATTTGGACCAAAGTAATAGCTGTCAATAAAACAGCATGTATCGAAAAGGCTACATCATTAGCAGCTACCGGGATCATCTGCAGCAGGCATAAAGTCAACAAAACAAACAAATATATAAATACATGAAAAAGACTTAATTCAGCAAAAAAAAAATTATAAATTCCCATTAACAGGTAGCTTTAATTCATCAAAAAAATCTTCTTTTTTTATAACACTAAGCTAACATCTCACAATTAACAAATTAGCTATAAGAATGAAAGTTTTCAATCTTTTTACTAGTTTGCTCTACAAATTCAACTAATTGACCAAATAAAACATAATGAAGGCAAAAAATAACTAAACCCAACTTCTGAAAATTACTAATTTAATCAACAATAAAGGAAAAAAAGGGGAAGAATTAAAACGAACCTCTCCAGAGCCATATTTCTCGAAGTATTGCTTCTGAATAACTGGGCTAAAGTAGAGACAAACGTTGTAAATCATATAGGAGGAGTGCTTTGTCAAATTCAGTATCACGAAATCAAAGTTCAACCCCACAACGCTGCGTTCGAAACAAACAACATTAAGAGTCTACAAAATCCAAGAAAAGGGAAAAACAACTGAAAATTAAAAAATTAGGTTACACCTTTTTCTTCGGAAATTTAAGATGACTTGAGGATAGAAACTAATGGACCATGAGAAAAACGCAAGCCAACCCAACACTTCGTATGTGATTTCCAGTGGAATTGAATTCCAAGACGCCATCTTTTTGCTGATTTTCCCGGCTGATTGGAGAGAGAAAATCAGAGACAGAGAAGGAAACCAAAGAAACGAACTTTTAAAATCCCGTTTCTTTGGTTTCTTTGAATTTGGGTTGGACCGGTTACTGAAAGTGGGGCCTCTGATGCTGACATGGAAGAAATGGATATTTTTGTATTGGGTCCTTTTCTTGGGATATATTCACTCTCCTCCTTCCTTGGTTTTCCACGCATCATAAAATAATGATGCAATGTCTTAGATTGATGTTGAGATTTTCAAAAGCCAAATATATTTTCTTTTTGTTATTTAATACAAAACAAAAACACATCTCTTTTAAAATTTCAAATAAATAAATAAATAAATAAAATTATTAAACAAAGATATAGGTTATGCATTGAAATTTTATTTTTGAATATCGATAATCATATTGTATAATAAAATATAATAAACAAATTTAAAAATAAATTTTAAATAAGATATATATATAAAGTAAAAAATATAAAAATATTATATTTATTAATAAAAGTGAACTCTTTAATTATATATATTTTTAAATAAGATGCGTATTTTTCATACTAATTTATTCATTAAAAATTAAAAATATTTAACATGTTAATATGAAAAAGTTTACTTTGATTTTTATTTTTTTAATATTTTTCTTGTTTGAAGTCTAAATTTTGAAATTGTTGAAAAAACTTTGAAGGTTGAAATTCATAAAAAAATAAATTTTCATATTTCAACTCAAAAGAAAATAAATAAAAATGAGTTTTCAATAATTAAATAAAATGAAATCTATAAAAAGTGCATATCATACAATATCATATAATACGTATGTTTTGCATGTTACCTATTATATATTTTTATATTTAATTAAATATGATATAATATATAGATTCATATATAATTTTATCATAAAATAAAAACAAAATAGGTTCATAAAATGAAAAATATCTAAAATATTGTACTAATCATTTGTTCCCAATATCATAAAAATTTTCAATTTGACGTTGATGATAGAAAAATAAAAAATATATATTATATTTTCATTGGAAACCCAACAACGAAGCCCAAGTTGTGGCCCAATGTAGACCAATGCAGAGAGTTTTTGGGCTTAGTTGGGCCGACCTGACACCGCTCGAAGGGCATTCAACATTGTCTCTCTGACATTTCCTTCCCTTTGCTTCCACTGAAACTGGCTAAAACCCTATAGCAAGCTCAGAACACCCCCTGCATTTCCTCAGAAGGAGGAAGACCAGAGAGATCAATGGCCACTTCTCTTTTAATCAAAGCCTTAAAACCTATGAAAACCCCTAACGTCCTCTCAACTCTCCGTTCCCTAAATTTCACTTCCATCGCCGCCGTCCACGACTCTCCATGCGGCGGCCCATCTTCATCATCCTTCACATTCGACAACACCAACCACAGCAAAGAAAAAGACAATAGCAGCATCTACCTAAAGCCACCGACTTCGAATTTGAAGCCCGAAACGACGACGTCGTCGTCGTCCGTGACGATGCCGATTTCTTTCATGACTGGGTCGATCGTTGGGAAGAGATTTTATAAGCAGGTGAGCACGAGAGAGTCTGATGATGGAGTTGGATGGACGGTGATGCTTGATTATCGAACTCTTAAGACGCCTTCCAAAAGGCCCCTTAAGTTGCCTACTTTGGCTCTTGCTAAGGCCATTGCTGCTGAATGGGAATATCAGGTACTATTTTTTTTATTGTAATTCTTTGCTTTTAGGTTTTTTTTTTGGTTTAAAAAATTGAGTTTTTCCCTTTATTGTTACTTAAAATGGATTATCTTTTAATTTGAACAAAAGTTCATTAATTTGGGATTGAATTTGTTGCTCGTTTACTCTCTGCATTGGGTGTTTTTGGATATTTGTTAAGTGCTAACTTAAGCTTGTCTGAATTGGTTTTCATTTGATGAATGTTAACTTCAGAAAGTGGACTGGAGTGAACTCAAAAGATTTACTGCACATGTTTTAGTTGATCTTAGGTCCAATTGTGAAATTTTTGTGCCGCAGATTTACTGAGTCCTATAATGAGATGTTAATTATTGTAGCAAATAGATGGGATCAGACCCTTTACGATGCCACTGATGAAACTTGCTTGCACGGCGTTGGAGAGAGTTCCACTTACACGGGTGAAGGTTATTGAACATTTGATGAAGAAATTTAATCAAGACTTAGTATTCTGTCGTGCTCCTGAGGATAATGCTCTGACGGTTGGTCTCCATGGTGAGTAGATCATTCATGCTTGACTATATTATATTATGCTTCCTTTGATATTGAATCATCTTATATGCTTGATGGGAAACTGAATCATTTTCAGTTTAGTCTCATCACTATATGCTTGATTCAGTGTGAAAACCAAAATGCAATAATATCCCACATTATGTTTTTTTGCAGCAAGGCAGGTTGAGAAAGTTGATCCTTTACTTGATTGGGTAGAATCAGAATTTGGCTTTAAGCCTATTGTGTACTCCAGTTTTTTTGGTGGGAAGCAAGGGGACGGTCTCACAAAGGCTGTTGAAAACTTTCTAAAGGAGACAGATGGCTGCGAATTGGCAGCAATTGATGCCCTTGCAGCTGCGGCACACTCTTTAGTCATTGCTCTAGGAATTTTCCATGGTAAATTGCAGATTGAGGAAGCAATTGAGTTGATTAGACTTGAGGAAGATTTGCAGGTGAGATTCTTTACAGTTGCTTTTCCTCTTTCTAAATAAATCTCTAGTGACATCCGTACTTATTTTTTAACATATTGGGGTTATTTTCAGTAGCATTAACTTGAACTTCTCTTATATGTATGTAGGTGGATAAATGGGGTCTGGTGGAAGGTGGGCATGATGTTGATATTGCTGATCTCAAGGTACAAATCTCATCAGCTACTGTGTTCCTTGGTCTTTCAAGGAGAAACTCCTTTTCTGATTGACGAGGTCTCGAGGCTAGTCAAACTTTTTATTTTTCTTTTATAGATTTGTATCTCTTAATGTAACTTTCATTAATTTTTGTAAGATTGATGATTTTACTAAAATAATGAATAATTGAATGTGAATGAGTTCGATTGCCTTTCTTCAACTCATATTGAAACATCAACTCTCACATGCCTTTGAACTTGTGGGGAAAGAGAATGCAGCAATAGTGTTTGGTAATACTACTGTATTCATCTTCTGGACAGAGTTCTTAATAACACTATATCACATTTTGTGGAGAATGCCAACATTTAGATCACTGTTCTCATGAATGATGCTTTCATAGCTAAGAGACTCATCATCCTAGAAATTACAGTCACTCCCAATGATGGAAGATCCCATTTGTGTTATTTGATGGAAGGTGATGTTTGCCTAATACTTCAAAAGTAACATCTGTTCTTGTGATCAAGCTTGCTGGTAACTTATGTCTTTTCTTGGCAGCAATAGATGCATATTGGTGGTTGTCTCTCGATGTCACAATTGCAACAAGCTGTGTCACAGTCATTGTTGCAACCTATTGAAGAAAACAGAAATATTAGCTGCGTTTCTTCTGGATTCCTGAAAATTTTTTCAACGTTAACATCTTCTGTAAATCCATTCTTGAAAAATCATGGGTTATTTTTATCCCACCGATGAATCAGTTCCAAGTTTGTTGGAAAAGAAGTATCATGGAAATTTAGCAAGTAAAATCAAAATGAATTGGTTATTCCAGTTTCATTACATCACCTGTGATGGTAATAGACTTGGGTGGCTCAGGGCCTTCAGCTTCCATGGGAACTGAAAGGCGATTGCTGGCATGAACAATATTGGTCCTGATACCAGAGATGATGATGACAAAAATCCATGTTACTGTTGACAACTTGACCATTCTAGGGACAAAGAGAATTAGCTGCTTGGCAGGTGGAAGTTTTCTCCTCAGCACCTGTTTTCATATATATGCAGGCCTTTTTGCCTCTTAGATGAGGGACCTAACTCATTATATAAGATTTTGAAACTGGAAAAATTCAGTTTTGAATACTTTTGCTGGTATAAGAATGACTCATCCCAAAACTGTGTGATGATTAATGATCCAAACTATGCCAAGTTGGTGGTCTCTTATCCTTTTTGAAAAAGTATAAAAAGAGCCACATTGATTGAATGCTATGTCTGTGTAAAGTAGTAACGAGGTATGAATTATTGTATATTCATTTTGTTTCGCTTTACCTTACAGTTGGTTGAATGGTAGATGGATATCCAAAACAACAAAACTCCAGTGAAAACAGCGTTATTCCACTGAATTTGTGCTAATAAGCCTGACCAATCTGAAGATTATTAAACCATTTACTGCATGCAACAAACAGATATTAGGATAAAAAAAGACCCAAATAAGCACCAGAACAAGTTATAACAAAATTAAGTACAATGGTGAGGGAGAATACAATTATTGGCATCATTAACTCAGAGCAAATTGTTTGAGCGGTCCTCACAAAAATAATCCAGATTAACTGGTTAAATACACCAACATTTTTATTGTGAAATTTGAAACTTCAAGCACTACCAAACAGCTGAAGCTTTTTGATGTGTGTGATCTGCTTTCCTGGGTTCAGGCCCTTTGGGCAAGCACGAGCACAGTTCAATATCGTATGGCAACGATACAGCTTGAACTCATCATTTATGGCCTCCAATCTCTCCTTTGTGTATTCATCACGGCTGTCACTTATCCATCTGCATATCAGAGCTTGGTTAAGAGGCTATATAAACTCAAAAATTAATCAATAATCTTCCACATTCTCTCGGCTCTCTACAATGAGAACAAAAATAACCTATACAAACTAAATTTTAAGTTGGAAAATGACAGAATTTATAGGTCTGAGAAAAAACTCAGAAACTTAAGGCCTAATATAATCAAAAGGGAAAGACCTAAGATCAATAAGCCAAAAATTTTTTAGTGTACTATCAAAGCAGGTCCCTTTACTAAGGGATTCATCCTTTAAGACCCTAACATCAACCTTGGTTATGAAATGTTTCATTGTATAGAGTTGTATAAAGGCTGCAAGAATAGCAAATACAGCAGCATCAATTAAATTAATAGCTCTGTAAGTATCAATTATTGAACTTTTCCAATGCTTTAATTCAGCTACAAAATGTTTAACCACTGGCTTTTCACGTTTGGAACCAAAATTCAAGGAAAATTGACCAGAAGAATGTTTGAAATTTGTGGACATAAGCAACAATATGAATAATCAAAAACCACTGGCAATGTCTAATTAACAAATCCTAACTACAAACTATATCCCATGAGGAAAAACATTTCCATTCATTCAAACAGACCATAAACCAAAACACACCTTCTTAGCAAACTATAAGCCCCACACAGTCCTAAAACCTTAACTACCCCATAATCAATAAAAAGCAAAATTAAACTTTCAATAAATCATTCAGAGAACCCCAAGTTTGCAATGAGTAATATGATTTGGAATAATCATTATCCAAAGATAACTAGCAAAAAGAAAAACTTGTTTCCCTCCTTAATCAGTTAACAAAAGACTTGCTCTTTTTTCAATTATCAACTAAACAAATCCCAAAACAAACCCAAAAAGCCAACATTAGAATCAAGTGAACAACTCGAAAACCTGAAAAAGAAAAACTATAGCATTTCCTTTCTGTTTTCTCTTTTAATCGGTGAAGATAAAGCTAGCTATTTTACTATCAATCAATCAATTAGACCCCAAAACCCAATCAACAAGAACCATCATCAACATCAAATTAAGAAATAAAACCCAAAAATGAATCATTATTGATTACCTGTTAGCATGAAGCAACGCAGCAGGACCCAAATAAGCTTCAGGATTCCACCAATAACTAGGACAACTGGTACTACAACAGGCACACAAAATACATTCATACATCCCATCCAACTTGGCTCTATCCTTCTTACTCTGCAGAATCTCTTTCCCTGCCGTCGGCGGCGGATTCTTCCTCTTCAACCAAGGCTCAATACTCTTATACTGATTATAAAAGTTGGTCATATCCACCACCAGATCTTTTATCACATACATATGTGGCAACGCGGGCGTGATCGTCGTCTCAGATGATCCTGATTCGATCTTGGTCAGACAAGCTAACCCGTTACAGCCATTGATGTTCATCGCGCAGGAGCCGCAGATTCCTTCACGGCAGGAGCGGCGGAAGGTGAGCGATGGGTCGATCTCGTTCTTGATCTTAATTAGGGCGTCGAGGACCATGGGCCCGCATTCTTTTAGGTCGATTTTGTAGTCTTGGAGTTGGGGTTTTGATGGGTTATCTGGGTTCCATCGGTAGATTTGGAAGGTTTTCATATTGGTCGTGGCGGCGTCCCCCTTTTTAGCTTCCGCTTCACTGGCGTAGGGACGCGTCACCACAAGCCTCGACGCCGGAGCCACAGTTGACGACGACAAGCGTGACGTCATACTCGTTGCCCGTCGAATCAAAGTGGTCGCCATCGTTTCAGTAAAAGGAAATGAGAAATCGAAAACGGCAAAAGCAGAGTGACCAAAGAGAGAAGAAAGTCCAATATTCATAGGATGATTTTACCGAATGACCAAAAAGGGCTCCTATACAAAGCCGGTGGTGCGGTGATGGGGGGGTAGTTTGGGGAATCTATGTTTTGATATCTGCGTGCCGTGGATTGGGAGGACTTCTCAAGGTTGGTATTGATGACGTGGACAAATATGGATCGTTGGCTAAGGGTGAGACGTGGATTTGTCGTGGAGCAGTCAATCGGTTCGAATTTTTCTATGTTTTCAGGGCGTGTGCCTAGCATGGGCCCAGTATAACATTGGACACGTGGTGGCTTGTGAGTGGAACATATTTAGATTGCCAAGTGAAAAGTGTGGACTTTAAGTTTGGGTTTATGTGGGCTTAATCAATAGCCCAATAGATGGGCTCAAGTTCAGATAGAGCCCAAAGTTATATAAATTTAGAAAAATTTATATCATTTCCTAAATTTGAAAAAGTAAAAATTCGGAAATAAATAAAATAAATATTTATATAATTATAAATTTTTATTTTTGAGAATTTTGAATTTTTAAATTTATTTATATACGATGACAATATTTAATTCACTAATAGTGTATAAAATCTATACACTAACAAGATATCATATATAAAGCATTGTCAATGTATAATACTTATACACTATCATTTATAAAATGTCACCTCCTAAATGTATAAAGAGAAATATTTCAAATTCCTTCGAAATAAATATTTTAAAAATTATGAATATTTATTTTTTTAGAATTCTATTAATAAAATAATAACATTTAATTCATTAATTAAACCCAACCCAATTTCAGATGGAACCTTTAGCTTCAGGGGAAACACTATAATTAATGAAAAAGGAAAAAGAAAAATGATTTCCTTTTCTCAAATTGGATTTTTATCAGACCAAAAGAACTATAAGTTGGGGATAAAAAAACGAAAGGAAGCACATGATCATGCACATCGGAGTTAGAAGTGGGGGTGTTTAAAGGGAGATTGTTCATAGATGCAGTAAAAACCTAAGCAGCTACTGTACAAAGCTCAGAGTCTATCTCAAAACCCACCACTTTGGTCCCTTGCAAATGTTGAACCATGGATGCCTAATTAAGAGACTATGGAATGGAGTCGACCGGGCAAGCTGATGAGAAATGATTCTCGGGATGGTGAAAGAAACAGTTGGTTCCATACTTGCAGATACCATATTTCTCATAGTTCCAGCAGATTTTTCTATCCTGCAGGGCAACAAAATAAGAAAGGTAAACAGATGCATTAAAACAGGAGTAAAAATAATCAAGGGAGAAGAAGAATTGGTGCTAGTTCTATCACCAATGTGATTGCTTTTGCTGATTTTGCAAAGCAGTTATCAACCAGGATGAACCAATTTCATGGACGGATTGACGACGTGCTCAAAGAAACTTTATTGGAGTATCTATTGACAGTAATAATATAGGTAAGAGTGATATAGAGAAGATGATGCAGACTCACAGGTCTTAGAGGCAGGCCTGCACTGCTAAGGATAAAAACAGGTGGCTTTGATGGTCGAGTCTTGGGATGGTGAAACTTGCAGGCAGCTTTATACTTGCAATATCCAGTTTTCATAAAGTAAGGACATTCAGGTTCACCAGGTCGTTCAGGGAATTCATCAGCTTGTATCTGCTCTTGATGGAGTTTGGAGTTGTCAGCCATATTTATTGCATTGTGTATTGAAGGAGCTGAATAAGGAAGACTAGTTTTTTCCTGTCATTAAGGTTCAAAGCAAGCCACAAATGAGTTCCCATAAGAGAACTAACACAAGCAAACATTCCTGACAACAGCAGAACACGTTAATAGCATAAAACAAGTCAGACACGGCCAATGCATCTCCAAGCACACACGCAAACACAGAGAGAGAGAGAGAGAACTAAAAAAACATAACACTGAAGAATGCAACTAAATGGCATGTGCTCCGCTGTTCACAATTCAGGGCACATAGTAGATTCTAACATTTATACCCTTTGTGTAGAAGTTACAGATGAAATCTGGACTGTAATAACTCCAGAAAGAGACCATGAAAGAAAGTTGACTTTGAAAATCCTTTCAAAAATGATGTGTAGAGAAGTCAACACAAATGCATCAATTAACATCCATCATCCCCCCATCCTTTTTCAATATAAACTAAATAATGAGTAAATACACCGATCATCCATAACCTTCGTACAATATTTCATTTTCATCTGTGGCCTTTAAAATTCAATTTGGATCTGCAAGCTTTTAAAAGTCTCCAAATTAATCAAATTCCATCAAATCACCATTAAGAATTAAAGGACTATGTCATCTCAACGTCACGTGGTATAAACATGTCCTTTTTTTGCCACATGAACATCCACACATCCAGGCCACACAAATGTGGCAAATTCCGTAAAAAATTAATGTGATTGACAGAATGAATTAATTTAAAACATTTTTATAAGGTTGCTAATCCAAAAATTGAGTTTTAAAATTCGATGATGAAAATGAAATATTGCACAAAGGTCATGGATATCTGATGCAATTTACTCACTAAAAGACATATTCAGAAACTAAACAGCCAAGGTGGCTCAAGTCATCTCACGAAAGAGAGAGATTTGGGTTAAAGAGAAACACCATCATCCAAACTTCCTATGAATATAGAAACATTACATCAGAAATAAAGAATCATCATACTAAAGGTAGAACTTTGAAACCAAAATTGCTATTTGAAAGAAAATTAGAAAAAAGCAGTAGTGGAGAAAACAAACTAGGTTGACCGGAGTAAGAGCAAAGCTACCTGATGTCCATTCCATTCAGAATTTAGATGCATCCCATGAGCATAAGATGAACTCTGATTCAAGTATGGAACATGCTTATCTGGCATCATATTCAAAGATAAGGAAGCTGCAGTTGGTTTGGATGACATTGGCAAAAGACGGGATTCACGATTATAATTCCCTGAAGAGTGGCCTCCAAAACCAGAAGAGTCTGAACTCAAAATGTTGGATCCTTCAGCAGCAGTGGGGTCAGGATGGTTAAACCTGCAATTAGGTCCATATGCACAAGAACCTGTACGCATGTAATAAGGACACTCTTTCTCCAGCTGACATAAACATAGAATTTCAATTAGTTGACATAGCGAATCTACAAGGCAGATCCAATTGCAAAGTATTCATTGACCAAGCCTGTTTTAAAAGCTAAGTGAGAAAACAAAATATAACACCATAAAACATAAAATTATTACCATTCGAATTGGCAGGCCTAGGAAGTTAAGGTCTGGAGGAGGTATCTCAGACTTTTCCAGGTATCTAGACTTCTCTTTGGAGTGACTATATCTACAAGCTTTTCCATACTTGCATCCTCCTGAAGTTAGGTAATACTGCCAAAATAACAATACAAAAATCAAGATGTTTATAACAGGTTTCAAATTCAAAGCTTAGCATGGCTCTCTAGTATTGCCATGGGCCAAGACTAATCTTCAAACCTTGCATTCAATCTGCCCTGTCTGTTCCACACAGTCATCCTTCTCCCTCTTCTCATTTATACCCTTCAAGTTACACCAAAAATGCCAGGAAGACAACGAAAATAAAGATAACAAGTGAAATTGCATTGATAATCAAGAAGGTAGCAGTATCAACAATCAAAATGAATAATTTACAATAGATGTACCACTTGTGCTGGCAGGCCAAAGGAGTTGACTTCTAGTGGAGCTAATACACAATCTTCTTTAGAGTGCCTATATCTGCAAGCATTTCCATATCTGCACCCTCCAGTGGCTCGATAATACTACAAACATCATGACATTGAGGAACTCAATACTCCATGCCATGTGTATGCTAATGCTTCATGTAACAAAATACGGCTGAGATCACATCAAAGATAGCATCATCCTTGAACTTTCAAGCTATTAGAAGTGCCTTCTTTTACAAAATTAGCAACTGTTTAACTTAAATAAGAAATTAATAAATAAAGAATAGAACAGAAACACAAGTAGACTAGAATGATGAAAACTCCTCAAACACACCACCCACCAAACACACACCTATCCCCCAAACACAGAGAGCGAGAAAGAAGAACAAACTGCCAGAAAGTATTTGTACATTGATAGCAATGCAAAGATGGCAAGGCAAACAGAATAGAAATGAAATGATAACATGGCATAGAAGCGCCAAACTTTAACACAATCAATTCCAATTGTCAACATCAACGTTTGTTACTTTCAAAAAACAATCAATGTTTGTTTACTATAATTATAGACATTAATACTTTGCATTTACACTCAAAGTAAACTACTTGCAGCTGATTTCATCACGGAATGCTATCATGTAGTTCAATAGACAATAAATAAATAAACAGAGAAAAAGAGATAGCAAAAATGTATGAGCAAAAACTAATTGCTGAATGCAAGCACGTCCTCTGGTAATCAAAGCTGATTCTACTTTTCGGCTCAAGAAATATCAAGTAAAATAATCCAAACTAAAATATTACACATGAATTATATATCACAGCCATATCAAACACTTGTTCAACAATTCAATACTTTTCCCTCCGTACAAAATTCTGCCTTGTCCTCTTAATTTTAAAATTCTTCAAAGAACACTCCTTTTTAGGAGACAGAAACAGAAACACAATCAAAGATACAACCAGAAGATGAAACTAAATAAATCAATTTCATGTTGCCACAAAAGCCTAACCTTGCATTCAATTTGCCCTGTCTGCTCAGCAGTCCATCCTTTATGGTTCTCCTTATCCTTCAATAACCATCACAAAAGAAAAACCCACAAAAGAATAAGTCCACTACAATTAGAAAAGGAAAAAAAAAGATCAATCCTTTACTGAAAAAAAAATCCTGATAAAAAGAAAAATCTATACCTGAGACCCACCCCCAACTGGGTGGTTAAACTTGCAGTTCAAACCAAACTTGCAATTGCCAGTTTTAAGATAAAAGCTACAATCTTCTGCATAAGGCCTTAGAGGGTACTGATAATTCTCACCATTCTGCCAGTCCTCTTGAAGATTTTCACTGTTGTCATCTCCAGCGTAGCTTTTCCTGTCACTCTCTTCCAAGGTCACATTTTTAAGACCTTCAACAAGGCTTTCTTCTTCTTTTTCTGCTCCAGGGTAAAGATTACACAAAAGGGTACTTGAGTTAAACCCTGAAGCAGACTCTGTTTGGGTTTGATTTGGGGTTTCTGGTAGTGATGAGTAGTATTCTTCACAACTTCCCATTCTGGGTTTTTTTTTTCTCAACCCCTCACTCCTCAGGCACGTTTCCTTGCAACCCTAGATCACGTGAAGAACAAACAAATCTTCCAACCCTCAGCCTTTTAAGTCTTTGAAATACCAAAATGGCTTTTTCATTTTTTTTCTTTTTTTTTTCTTTTGCCCTTTTCAATTACTTTTGATAAGAACTTTTTCGCTAAATAGAATATAAACTGATCCTTTTTAGCTGCTAAAAATGGTAAGTTGACTCAGGGTCAACCATGATTTCTCTTTACAAGGGAAAACAGAGAAGATATGAATTGTCAAATCTCAAATGTCCCAAAATTAATAATATTTCTTATTTCAAGTATTTTATAATGAAATATTATACTCACTAATGAAGTTATGATTAAGTTTCAAAATTTTAATTTGAGACATAAGTTGATAGATATTTGAATTCCCATCATATTAAACAAAATTGGAAGAAATAGCATTACTCTTTATTTATGTATATTGTACTTAAAATATATGCATAGTTACTTGAATTTAATAGTATTAATAATTCAATCATGAATGTCTTGGTTTCAAGTTTTAAGTACAAAGGGGTTTGTTTACACTAAGGCCATTATAATATATCCACCTTACTATAAGGTCATGAGGCATTGAATTATTTAATGTGAAATTGAAAATTAATAATATTTATCTGTAAAATATAGAATATTTTAGTGTGAGATAGGAGAAAATGCCAACTTTAAATTTTTCATTACAAAACCAAGAACTTGTGTGAATATAGTAAAAGACTTAAGACTTTTTTTATACAAATTCAAGCTGAAGACTTTTTTTTTTTGATAAAATAAAAATATAAACGTCTCAATTAAATAATTTGATATAGTTTAGAGATTTTTTTTTATTTAAAACAAATTTAATTGACACTCTATTTCATGGAACTGCTTTAATTAATTCCAATATCCAGACAGGTCATTAAACCTTTTCTTCCTATTCCTAAACCCATGGTACAGTGTCCCACAACTCAAAGGTCAGTATCAAGCACATGAAGGTGGAGAATGTATCAAATGATTCAAACCACATCTGTATTCAACTGATTTTAAGTCCAGAGAATTTACAAACACAGCATGGTAACCCATCTTCCCTTGTACTTGAGGTGTGTCTCCCTCTTCTCACTGCATCAATGGCTTCACTAAGTTCTGCCTATATATACCTACTCAGAATTTATAACTAATCAAAAGTGAATAAAAAGGCATTATCCTGGAAGGGAAGCTGCTGCTGTAGGGAACGTGTACCTGTCCATTGGCAAACATTAGAAATAGAGATAACAGGTAGAGATAACAGGGCATGAACATTATGTGGGGAAGTTCTGCTCCTTTAAAGCAATCTAAATCAGAATTTGAGGCCACTTTTATATAATAAATCCTTTGGGAACTGAAACAGTGTTGCTCCTTATTCAATGCTTTATTAGGAACTTTGATATATTGGCTCCTAATCAAAGCTTGGAACAGACACTATCAGTGCTTCCCTGTTGAGAAACATATTTACAGAGCAGGACTGTTGAATACACAAATGGTAGTGCTGCTATGGCGTTATTAACTTTCCTTCTGCCATGGCAGGAAGCAAAATGATGTTCAAGCAGAGTTTAGTTTGGTAAAAGAAAAGAAGAGTAGAAAGAGCAAGACAAGGCCCAAGACTATAAGGTTTTTTTCTTTTATTTTGTTTACATTGTTCCAATTATGATGAAATTTTTGATGAAGAAAAAGGATTAATTCTTTGGTAAATAATTTTTTTAATTTAAAAATACAATTCGAATTTGCTCATAATGTATAAATCAATAAATCAAATCAATGAATTAAATAAGTGTTGTTGAATTTTTATTTTTTTATGGGCCTTCAAGGCCCAAGACTTGTTTATAAATGATTAATTAGTTAAGGCTTGGAATTATAGTTCTTGTAAAAGCCTACAGCTCAGTACCAAATTCAAAAAATTTAACCGTTAGGAAAGATCATCCCACCGTTTCACCTATAAGCCTTCCTTGCTGAGGAAGAGAAAGTTCTTTCTCTTTTCCTACTGAGTAAACCCAGAAAGAAAGTCCAAGAAAATGGTAAGAGCAGAACCAAAACAAACCCCACAAGATTCAAAGCAAGCAATTCCAATTGAAAATAGCCAAAAAGTTGATACCCTGTTGAGTCCCAGGTTCAAGTCTCTGGCAGCCATGGCTGGTTGGGACGAGGAAGCCCTTCTCGTTGCTAGTCTCATCGTCGAAGACACCCCTGATCGACAATCCAAACACAAGAAACGCTCCGATTTGGTTTTCAAGACTCCACCTTCCACCACTTCAAGAAGGTAATTAATAATCCCAAAATTTTTATAGGCTTTTATTGTTTCTATTTATTTCTTCATGGTTTTGTTTTCCAGGAAACGTAGGGTTCAGAGAAGGAGCCCTGTTTCAACTCCTATTGCTCCTTTAAACCTCGATGAGGAAGGAACTTCAAAACAAGGTAATTCGTTTTCTGATTGCTTCTTGGACTTCTTTTGTTTGCTGAGAAAAGTAAATGGAGACAAGAAAATTGATTTTTATTTCATAATAATGTTGCCTAGAGAGTGGGAAAGAGTCAATGGAACAAAGAATCAATGTTAATGAGGAGAAGAAATCAGAAGTAAACGAACCAACCCAACAGGCCCCTGGTGTTTCTTGCCCCAACCCAGCTCCTCAGTGTATGGATAAACTTAGAGAAGAGCTCTCTTGTGCAGTAAGTCATTAGTTTTTGTGTATATTGTTAATAGATTCAGCTTGGATTGATTGAAGCTAATGAATAATTTTTTACTTTATCTTCTAATGTGGCATTATTTGCTTGGCAGATTTGTTTGGAGATCTGCTTTGAACCAAGTACCACTCCTTGTGGACACAGGTACAGAAGCCAATTGCATATTCCATTCAACAAAACTAAAATTTGTTAACTTGAGTAGTTGTTTGCAATTGATCTGTCACTTTAGTGAAACCCTTTTCTCTTTCATTGTAGTTTCTGTAAGAAATGTCTGAGATCAGCTGCAGATAAATGTGGGAAGAAATGCCCAAAGTGCCGGCAGCTAATAAGGTAAAACCAACCCCAGCTGTAAATCAACTGATTAACATCAGTGGAATGAGCTTTTGCACTAATACAGTTCTTGTTTGAATATGTAGCAATGGAAGATCTTGCACTGTGAACACAGTTCTTTGGAATACAATAAAGCTTTTGTTTCCCCAAGAGGTTGAAGCAAGGAAGGCTGCTGGTGCCTTAAATAGCCGGGAAGTTGAGCGTCAAAGTCCAGAGAGTGGAAGTCGTAGGACCAGAAGGACTCGTAGTATCAGAGATGCAAGTATGAGCAGAAGAGGGGTGATGAGCCAAGATGAGGATGCTGCATTGGCTTTAAGGCTGCAGAGAGAAGATCTTTCACGGTTAGTAAGCACGAGGAGAAGAAGAGAGATGCCAAGCCAAGATGAGGATGCTGCATTAGCTTTAAGGTTGCAAAGAGAAGAATTCATGGAGTCTTTTACAGGGACTAATCAGCAATCAAGAACCCCTCTTTCCTTAGCTAGAGCAAATTTGAGGGCAATGGCATCTAGAGCCATTAACCTTCGCATCAGAGACCGGCCAGTATAACCTTTCAAAGCTTCTTCATTGTTGTTCTTACCGATGCCACCAACACAAATAATCATGTCAACTGTTACACGTTACAACACAAAAGGTTGTGACCTTTGTAGTCCACTAGTTCTAAGTTCTTTGCTCTCAGATTTAGTTTTCTTTTCTGCTAGAAATTTCCTCTGTAAACAAGTCTATGTATGTTCCCTGCTAGAAAAGGTTTTCTGCAACTCATTTTCTGGTTAATTGGGTCTTCTTCAAGCTAAAATTGAAAACCCAAAATTTGGTCCAAGCACTCGGGTTTATTAGAGATATCAATTATATAACAACAATCTTCACTACTATTTTACAGTTGATATGCATCCATGTTAATTATTTAGTTCAACATACAACACATAAAAGTATAAATGCTGGATTTTGGTGTGAGGTAAGAGAAAATGCCAATTTTAAATTTTCCATTACGAACTAAAAATTTGTATGAGTACACTAAAAGAATTAAGATTTATATATATATATACAAATTCAAGCTTAAAAAATATAAGCGTTTCAATTAAATAATTTGATATTATTTAGAGATTTTTTTGTTATTTAAACCAAATTTAATTGACACTCTATTTCATGGAACCGTTTTAATTGATAGAAATCTTTCAACAGTTTCAAATAATTCCAATATCCAAACAGGTCTTAACCCTTTTCTTCCTAACGGGTCCATTGTACAGCGTCCCGCAACTCAAAGGTCAGTACGTATCAAGCACATGAAGGTGGAGACGTATCAAATGATTCAAACCACTTCTGTGTTCAACTGGTTTAATTCCAGAAAATTTACAAACACAGCATGGCAGCCCATCTTCCCTTACACTTGAGGTGTGTCTCCCACTTCTCACTGCATCAATGGCTTCACTAAGTTCTCCCTATACCTACCTACTCAGAATTTATAACTCATCAAAAGTGAATAAAAAGCATTATCCTGGAAGGGAAGCTGCTGCTGTAGGGAACGTGTACCTGTCCATTGGCAAACATTAGAAATAGAGATAACAGTGTATGAACATTATGTGGGGAAGTTCTGCTCCTTTAAAGTAATCTAAATGAGAATTTGAGGCCACTTTTATATAATAAATTCTTTGGGAACCGAAACAGTGTTACTCCTTGTTCAATGCTTTATTAGGAACTTCGATATATGGCTCCTCATAGCTCAGAACAGACACTATCAGTGCAAATGAAACATAGTATTGACAACAAACTTGTTAGAGTGAGTTAATATTTAGTTACACAGCAGGACTGTTACTCAGAATTAGTTAAGTACACAAATGGTAGTCCTGCTAGCTTTCTTCCCTTTCTTAAGACAGGCAACTATGATTAGCTTATTTGTCATTGTTCAGCTGCCTTCTCAACAATGCCACACCACAGTTTAGAATGTGACCCTGAACTACAATTTAGTTCAGTTTTGGCCTAATAAAGAATACTACCTACCAAAACTTTGAACTTGGACAAGCATGCAACTGTTTAAAAGCTTCCCTCTATTGATATGCTGGAAAATGCCTTTAATTACATATCTCAATTTTGATGCAACACCATATTTTAGTTTTGCTACGAACACATATCACAAATGTATAGCACAGTGGCACCACCAAGCAACAACAAGGAGATATCAATATATGCAAATGAGTTCTAGGTACCAGCTCCAATAGTGGGCTCGGCACTGTCAAGATCATCGACTTGAAGTTGCCCAAACCTGCAATAGAGATCCCACAAGCCAAACGGAAAATTTACCTGTTACTTTTACCATCAATAGACTGAATTTGGTCGAAATAAGAGAATATTCCTATCTCTCTGGTCTGGCTTTGGCACCTTACAAAATGTTTTACGCCAAGGGTGCCGTTGGGATCCTTTCCTATGCATTGAGTACCTTACAGGTTTGGACAGGAGCACCGCGGTTTAGAGGAAGACGGTATTGGCACAGACACTAAGAGAACTGGCATTTGAAGCTGCCACATGATTGACGACAAGTCAGATTGGAGGTTCATCCAAACCCCATTTTCTTTTTCGCAGATGAGCCCCTTTTCGTTGTGATTGTAAACGGCAGTGCCCTTTTCTTGTGGCTGTCCCCTCGTTGATTCTAGACAGTCATGATTCAAAAGCGTTTTGTTTTGAGGCCATTCTGATCATGTAGTTTGCTTTTCGATTGGAATGAAAGGGATTGGTTTTTGTAGCATTTTCTATTGATTAATTGTTATGAATCTTTTCACTATTATGTTTTTTGAAAAGTGAAATTGCAGTTGTATAAAAGTAGAAGATTACACGTACATCAAGTTGCTGAAAATCAGCTCTAAACATAAAGTCCTAATAATCCTGAGCATATAATTTCAGACCTCAAAGCCTAAATTGCTTAAAAAATTAAGTCGGAAATGGGCATAACTACCATTGCCCAAAGTTCAAAAAAAATCCATCAACAAAAA